CTATATCGGCAAACCGATACAGCAACTTTNGTTTACCTTCATAGTGGTCTGATAGGACTACCTATAAGATACCGTGTAGAGGCTTTCAGTTATATTGGTAGAACTGTCACTTAGGACCCAGATTCTGTTACCTGTGGTAGATTGAAGCTCAACTCAAGTGGATGGACACCAGTTTGGGTTATAAGTAAAAGCAGTCAGTGCTGTAAGCAATACTCAAAATTACGGAGCCTTAATCTACAGGACTTCTTTAGCCAAAACAACAGGCCGTAGCGGGAGTGTTTTGCTAATCCTATGAAATGCAGGGTTTGGACCCAATAGTGTGAACACTTCTGTTTTAAGACTTTTGAACAGCAACCATTTTTCTTTTCCAGCTACAAAATTTTTCACAGTAAGATTATAATCAAAGCTAATAAAAATGGGGTCTAATAGAATAGAACAAAGCTGATAGAAATTTCACAGACGTAAAATTTCCATCCATCCATAAGTGAAAAGAGTTAAAATTCTGTTATTTACTATTGTTAAAAATATATTTTACTTAAAAAAGAAAAGAATTTTTCGCTTTATGATGGGGTTTAGTCATCACCTCTTACATCAAGAAGCCTTCACACAGTCTTTTATAAGTAGTCCGCGCAGACTATTTCAAAAGTAAACCAGTTGTGCGCATGAACCCAAATTCTTTTTTAAAAGAACTTGAAAGAAATGTATCTTATATATTTCAGAATTGAATCTGTAGTGGTTGACTAGTATATAAGGCTAACAAATAATATTCATAAATAAAATTAATTTTTAGTCATATATGTGCTACCACTTTCTTATTTTGCATATATTCTGAATTAAATGACTCGTTCGATAAGTGGATATCCTTCATAGTGGTCTGATCGGACTACTTCTAAAAAACCGTGTGGAGGCTTTCAGATATACGAGGCGTTGGTTTAGTCCATTCACGGTATGAAGATGATTAAAAAGCCAGTCGTAATACGAGTTCAGAAGTAATACTCTATAAGGGTTTATATACAAACACGTTAAAGAAGGTTTATGATACGTGAGAGAAAAAGCTTTGTGCCAATGATGCTAATTCAACACAATGATATTATCTCGTCACAACGATGATCTTGAAGATTTACTTCAATATTTTATTTTTTCTTGAAGATTTAATTTTTTCTTACGTTGGCAGGACTGAGTAGCAAAGAGATTATATGCAGCGCTATTGATTCATGCTTCAGCATCAATTTCAATTTACCTTTACGAGTTTCACAGCAAATATGTAGAAAAAGCTTAATCGCTGAGGAGTAGAAAATATCGTTAGCGTTACTGTAAACGTTAAAAACATACTAAGTAAAATTTCTTATATAATGTAGAAAACATTGTCAAACACTGCAGAAAGAGATGGAAAAGTGGACGTTTTGTTACATACAACAGAGGTAATATAACATAGTTATACACACCAACGTTGGCACTTGTCATTATTCTAAAATGGACGACTGTTTTTATTTTTTTTATAATTTTAACTCCTGTTTATGTACTTTTTACTCCTTTATAATGCTTTGAAAATGCAATTTTATTAAACAACAAAAAACTAATTTAGTTCATTAAAACACTGACTAATACTTTCTTCCCTAAATTTTTTACTTCAAATTGTGTTTCTTAAAATCACAAGAAAAACTGAATTCAATTAATTTAGCAGTTTAATAAAAATTCATATTATAACACTGCGTCATACTTTTTGTTTCTTCATATTATGTATATTGATGTGAAAAATACGATAAAAAATGTATTCATAAATCAAATAGTGCCCATAAAATATTACCCATAGTAAAAACATGTAAACGTTATATTGTTAACAACTAGCCTTTTGAAATTAAGCACTCTTATACTGAATCGTGATGGAATTGAATGATCATTAAACTGAAACATGATTTCAATGAATTTGTGGCTCAAATATGTTTATAAACCTAAAACATTATTAAATGAAACCAGCTGTGATATAAAAGTAATTGTGAAACGATACTAAAAGTAAATGCAAAACGGAATAAATTGAAACGATAAAAAAAAAAAAAAAAAAAAAAAAAAAAAAAAAAAATGAACGTTATTTTGTTAGCAACGAGCCTTTTAAAATTAAGCACTCATTTCCTGAATCGTGATGGAATTGAATGATCATTAAAATGAAACATGGTTTTAATGAATTTGTGGCTGAAATATATATATAAATCTAGAAGATTGTTAAACAAAACCAGCTATGATATAAAAGAAATTGTTAAACTATACTACATGTGAATGTAAAACGAAATAATTCAAAACGATAAAAAAAGTAAACGTTATTTTGTTAGCAAATAACCTTTTGAAAATAAGCACTCATTTCCTAAATCATGATGAAAAGAAATATTGGCGAAGATCCTCATTTTTTTTAAACCCCAAAATCCCCCCCGAAGAGCCATTACCGCAAATCCCAAGAGTGGGAAATTAATCGCGCTAACAACCTAATAATAAACAGTTGTCCCCATCACATTAGCGAGGTGATAAAGTAAAATCCGAAGATTAATTGATGCTCATCTTCTTATCAATAAGTCATCTCCCGTGGCTCCTATTAGATCATAACATCGCCAAGATTTCGATCTAAAAAATTAGAATCACGAATAAAAAAACGAAAAAAATCAGGAAAAGCTTCGGTGAAGCTAAATACGAACGGCAAAAGCCGACGACAGACTCTGAGCAGGACCAGATCTCTCAAAGGTCGAGCAGTGAACCAAAAACCCTGGGCGATAAAACATTTATCACTGATTCGGGGGTTGTTAAGGGCTCTTGGGTTGTTTTCGCTCTTTAACCCCAGAGGACCTCCGATGAGGAAGCCGACATTCAGTTCGGGCATTTTTTCGAAAGTAATGATTTCCATAAATGCTTTTGATGCGAAACGACAAACAGAGAGTTTGAAGTGCTTCCGCAACTAAGGGGAGCATATTGCGGGAATTTTTTTTTTTAAACTTTGGGTTTTGCTGTTAAAGAATTCTATATTCTTACCGTGAATGGTTTTTGTTGTAAAAAAATAATAATAAAAGAAAGAAATTTTTTAATAGAATTTTGTATGGAAAATTCCCATTTTATAAAAAGAAGTCTGAATACATGGATCATACATTGACTTACACAGGGCTGAAAACTACTGCTTTTTTGCAAAATATTTTATCGATTGGACGCCAATTAAACTAACGCCTTTTGAATTTTAGTTTATTTACCCAACATTGTCAAAGCCTCCATACAGAAGAACTGGAAGAAGGTGGCTTTTCATACTTACAACTAAATCAAAATTACTAAACAAAGAATAATGCATTAAAACATAAGCTTAGTACTATTAGAAGAATTTTTCCAGAAAGGGGGAAAAAATGTCAGCCCAGCTTTTATGATAGTTCTCTATAAACGAATCTCCAGGTATCACAGTGATATTATTAAATATTTGATAGATGCAATATCATACTGTCGTGTTAGAAAACACTAGACTCACGAATCCTATGTATTAATATTTAAGGTAATGTTGTATAAAATTAAATAATATTCGATCTAACATTCAAACTTTTAAAATTATCTTCCATTTCATTACTTTTTTTTCTGGCGCCATTTTAGGTGCAAGGGCACCAGTTATTATTAATAACTAAAGATTTTTTCATGAAAAAAAACAAAGAAAAAAAAACAATAGATTAAAATATTTCACGAAATATCTTTTTTTACCAATGCAAATTTATGCCAGGAAACACCCAATAATATTATTGAAAATTAATTCGCTTGAATCAGTCACATGTAGTGGTGTGGATAATAACCAAATTTACTGCACTAAGGATTCAAAATTAAAATATAAAATTCGCTACCCTAGAATTTTTCTCTCTCCACAAATCGTAAGGAGTTGGTAGCTCTGCTTACAAATCAATCACGTGAGGATTTTCAATGATTTGGTTTTTCTGGTCTAAAATGTCAAAATTTTTAGACTGATGAAAAAAGTTATAATATTTGTTAGGTAAAAATTGGCTTTTGTTTTTATATTCCGTAATAGTTAGATCACATTTTTATTTTAATTTTTTTTAATACGTTATCCCATTTGCATCCTTTTTAAAGGATGGTTTCTATTTTCTAAAATGAAAAAAAACTGGTATCACAAATCTTTCATTTTCAGGATTGAATTTTGGAATAGCAAGATTGTTCTGCCTATCACAATTTATGAATAATATGAAATTTTTCTTATATTTTAGAGTAGTATCTGCCTACAGTGCCTACCACAATTTATTAATAATGTGAAATTTTTCTTTAGGATCAGAAAACAAGAATAATCCTTTTTAAGTTCTTAATACACAGTTTCCGTGGTCCTTTAAAAGTTTTGGTAGTGGTTATTGCTAGTAGATATTCTTAATTTAATACACCATTTTATTGTTAAGTGGTTTAAAAGCTTGAATTTTCATGCATATATACTTTCTTTGGAAAACAATTTTTAGTGGTCGGTTACACAGAAATTAAAATATCGACATTTGTTTTATTTTCGCTACCACATTTTTAAATTTTCAAGGCCGTCGCAAACCCTGTTAACAGAAACAAATATCTTCTTGGTAATAACAAATATGTACTGCCACTTTTTTCGTGTATATATATA